AACAAAACAAATTATTTTAGCCTCTTCAAAATTTCTGTACTTAATAATTTTGAAATTTCAATGAAAGAATTTGAATATGCTTATAAAATACTAAAAACAAATAAAGCGAGAGGTCAGGACGAAATAAATAGTAATATTATTATATTATCTTACGAGATCATAAAAACTATACTATTCAAAGTGTTTAGTTACTCAATAAAACAAGGAATATTTCCTGACCAACTAAAGATCGCTAAAGTTACACCAATATATAAAGGTGGTGAATTATCAAATATAACTAATGATTGACCAATATCTGTACTCTCTGGCTTTTCAAAGGTTTTTGAAAGAATTCTTTACAACAAAATATATGAACATCTTTCTAAAAATAAATTATTAAATGCCAGTCAATATTTATTCAAAAAAAATATCTCCACGGAATACGCCATACTTCATGTAACTAATTATATTGCAAATTCTTTTGAGAAATCGCAATTTACTCTTGGAGTTTTCATTGATCTATCAAAAGCCTTTGATACGATAGATCATGAGATTTATTAAATTTGCTAAAAAGCTATCTAAGCAATCGGAAACATTTTGTGCAAATTGGCGTATCCTCCTCAACAAGTTTACTAGATATAACATGTGGTGTTCCCCAAGGGTCTATACTAGGGCCACTACTTTTTCTCATTTATGTTAATGATCTGCACAATGCCTCATATTTGAAGAAAGTAATGTTTGCTGATGATACAAATCTTTTTCTATCCGGTAAAAATATCATTACACTATTTAATGAAATCAACATAGAACTAATTAAAATTTCAAATTGGTTCAAGTCAAATAAACTATCAATTAACTTGGAAAAAACTAAATGGACTTTATTTCATTCAAAATCCCAAAAAAACTTTTACCAAATTATATGCCTCAAATATATATTGACAATGTTCAAATAAAAAAATCAAAAGTTATACATTTCCTTGGTGTTTTCATTGATGAAAATCTAACTTGGAAAAACCATATCGAAATTTTGCGCAATAAAGTTTCAAAAAATATTGGAGTAATGTATAAAGCAAGAAATTTTGTAAATAGACATTCATTAATTCAACTCTATCACTCGCTAATTCAATGCCATATAAACTATGCAAATATCGCATGGGGTATTCTAAAAAAATTCAACTAGGTCCTCTATATCGGCAACAGAAGCATATAGGATGTTTAATAAACTTTAAAGATCGTTGTACTCATGCCAGACCTCTTTTATTAGAAATGATTGTTCTTAATATATACCACCAAAATGTTTTTAATGTTCTTTTATTTATGTACAAATGTAAGATAAACCTAACCCCTATATCCTTTCAAAATTTAAATGCAATAAAACAAAAAAACAAATATGACTTAAGAAATGACAATCTTATTCATCAACATTATTCTCATACAAGTTTTGGAAGATCTCTTTTAACATATCGCGGAGCTCTTCTGTGGAGCAAAATAGTTTTGAAAAATTTTGATTTTTCCCAAAGTTGGAGTTTTCTTACTTTTAAAATTAAGTTGAAAAAAGTTATCTTGTCAATTGATAATATCTTTGAGTTCTTTTGAGTTTATACCTTTTAAAAAAGTGTGTGGTTCCTGAATATATTGTTTTATTTTAAAATATTTAGTTTTATATATATTCTTTATGTTGTTAAACGTTATTTTATGTTTTGAAATATCTTGTTAAATTTAAATTTGTTTTTAAACGTCATTTATTGTAATTATTTAACTGGTTTTATTTTTACTGTATTGTTAAACGGTTCTCAGTGACAGGATCTTACGATCCTCTTTGAGTCTCCGTGTTCTGATATTTAATGTACAACGATATTTATACCATAGTATATTGTAAAAAAAAACAAAAAAAAACAAAAACAAATATACATATATATATATATATATATATATATATATATATATATATATATATATATATATATATATATATATATATATATATATATATATATATATAAATTAAGTATATAAATTGTAAGTGTATAAATGCTTTTTTTTTTTTTTTTATGTTCAAATTATAAGAGGTGGCTAAAAAAAATGCTTTTCAATTATATTACTTGTTTACCTAAGTTGTTATTCATTTTTGCTATTTTTAGATTCCTTAGAAAAAATTATTAGTTAAAAAAGTTAAATTTTAATTATTTCATTAATTAGGTAGAATATATTTCAATTATATCCTTTTTGTGTTATATTTTGAGTGTTAGTGTTACATCAAGTAGATGTTACATATAGTAGATGTAGATCTTGATATTATCAAGAAAGCATGTTGATCTAAATAATTATACGGAATTAGTCAATGAATAAGTCAATAATGATATTGCAGAGAAAAATTTAGACTCATCAAAATCAAAAATACTCAGTATTATTATTTTTATTTACTACTTTCAGCATTTTGTTAGTTGCTATTATTGTTCAACCAATTTTATGTGAAATTTTTATACATTTCTGTCTATGCACTATGTTGCTATTTTCATTTATTTAGTATTGCTTTTTTTCTCTATAAACCAAAAAAATTTACAATTAGAAAAAGTTAAAACATAACTTTAATACTTATTAGTTCTTTTGAAGTAATTTTGAAATTAAAATTGTATTTCTTAATAAAGAACTGCTTTATTTATTATATTGTAATTAATTTCATTTTCCTTTTCAGATGATTTTATAAAAAAACAAACAGTAAATAAGTTGAATGATTTATTCATATTTAGGATAGTGGTTAATTTATTTGGTTATACTCTTGAATTTGATACCACAGCGAAAGAAAATGTTGACATCAACACTCTTTACTTAATGTCACAATATAACTATTCGTTAATTGCTCTGGACCAAATAATTTAAAGGACAGATGATAATTTTTAAAACCATACATGTAATACAGTGACTTAAAAAAATCTGAATGAGCTAAGTCAAAGAAAGAGCTATAGTTTTTTAGAAACTCTTTTTTTTTGTCAAATATTTTAAAATCAGTAATAAATGTAAATTTCATTAATAAGCAGCTTATAAACATGATTTTTGTTTGTCTTATTGCAGTGGGAGATATTTTGAAACACTATTACAGATGAAGAGACCGCAAAGGTCACCGTAAAGATAGAAATGGGTATGTTCAGCAATGCCAAAGAAATATCACCTAATGCAACACTTTGCCGTATATCTATCAAATTAAGAATTAGGCATTGATTTATAAATTGCATTTTAATAAAATTTTTAATAATTTTTTATTTAAAACAGCCAAATGATCTGGGTAGGTTAACCAAATATTTTCAAATTATAGAATGATTACCATTTTTATTTCAAACTATTTGTTTTTTTCATTTTTCATTTTTTTTTTTTTTTTTTTTTTACTTGGAGAGGAAGGAAGAATACAATTAATGAAACTTTGAAATATCTTGCAATATAATAAAATTCTTTTATACTTATTTCTCGATTTTAGATTATTACACAAATATTTATATAATTTAAATGTTTTTTAAATATTAAGATAAAAAATTATATAATTTTGTAAAGTAGTGGTGCAGCTTCCCCTCTTATCTCTGGCACTTCTGATAATGTCAGGAGACCAGAGTTACTAGAGCATAGAGTTTCGCTCATTTTAATAAAGTAAAAGTATAAGAATTAAAAATTTTTTACACTAGGGTGTGTTAAACCCTCGTCAGACATCAACCCTCAACTGTAAGATAGACTGTTTATAATTGCTTTTGATCTGGTTTAAAATATTGTATATTGGTTAAAATATTGATTAAAATATTGTATATTGTATGCAATATATTGTATATTGTATAAAAAAAGTTTTAAATTTAATTAAAAAGAAATTTTTTCTATGGAGAATTATGCTTTTTTAGTTCGTAAAAAAGGTGGTTCAGTGCCCCTCTAACCCCCTGCATACTCCCGGCGGCTTGGGGACAATTTACATTTGTTGCTCTCTCTCTCTCTCTCTTACATCTATTTTTAACAAGTTATTTTAAATTAAAACATTCAGATATGAATTGACAAAGATATAACAATTTAAGCAAAAAAAAAACAAAAAAAAAAAGTTTTTACCACAGTTCCTTCAACAAATCCAAATATCAATATTTGTTATTTAAAATATTTTATAACTTATTTTAAAAATTGCGATGATTGGAGGTTGGGATCAAAAAAGCCCTTAAATTTCATTATCATCAACCCACCCAAACGTGAAGGGCAACAAGTTGATAAAATATTTTTTGTACTATTCTTAACAAGACTTAAATTCATCGATAAATTTTAAGTTTCATAGTATTATCTCTCGGCGTTCAAAAATTATGACCATATAAAGTTTAAACCGCCCTCAATTTGAGGGGAGTTACAAATTTAATATGTTCGTAATTTTTGACCGCCGAGAGATAATACTATAAAACTTAAAATTTATTGGTGAATTTAAGTCTAGTTAAGAATAGTACAAAAAAATATATATTTTATCAACTTGTTGCCCTTCACGTTTGGGGGGGGGGGAGGAGCGTGGGGATTAGGAAATAAAAATTAAGAGCTTTTTTGTTTGCAGGTTCCAATCATCACAATTTTTTGTAAAGCACCGTTATTTGATGTAAGTATATATATACAAATGTTTGGAGTTTGCTTCATATCTGGAAGTATGGAAGTTAGCTATCTTAAACACCAAAAAATGCTGGATCCATCACTAATATATATATATATATATATATATATATATATATATATATATATATATATATATATATATATATATATATATATATATATATATATATATATATACATATATATATATATATATATATATATATATATATATATATATATATATATATATATATATATATATATATATATATATATATATATATATATATATATATATACATAAATCTGTTTGCGCGTTCTTGGGTAAGAGAGAGAGAGAGATCAAATTTTTCAGAACTATTTATAGAATATGATACTATAAAAAATAGTTATGAACTATAATACTTTATTTAAATTCTTACCTCGACTCTTTTTTTCCTCTGAAAGGTTCCCACATTCTTGGCAACTTGTTCTATTTTTAAATTCGTTGCATTCATTACAATGGCTAAAAATAGCGTTTGTATTAGCTTGTGAAATATTTTTGTTTTTCTTCTTTTTGCCTCCCATTTTTTCTCTAATCTTTCTCTCGTCTATTGCAACAAAAGTAGCTTATATAGCCACCTATTACAGAAAAGTGTATAGACTTAAGTTTATTATTCTATTGGTCACCTGAATTGTTTTGTTCAACATAATTCTGAGAAAACAACAATGTATTACTATATTGCATAGTGCAAAAAGTACATACACCTGTACCTTTTGTATTGTGTGTGTACAGAACGCGTACCGGTTTGAAAGGTGTTTCCATAGTTAAAAGATGCAATGTTTATTTTTAAATATAATTAAGTATTTATAAATAGTATATTAAGTATATATAAGTTAAATATATAAAGTATATATAAATTAATACATTTTTTAAATATAACGAATGAATTTAAAATACAATTCATAAATTATAATTAATTATAATATATATATATATATATATATATATATATATATATATATATATATATATATATATATATATATATATATATATATATATATATATATATATATATATATATATATATATTTTTCAGTTTACAAAGTTAGTCGTTTTACAATACAATAAACTATTAAAATTACTTTACAAATATATATATACAAATCGTGATAACAGTGTAAACTAGGTTTCCGAAAGAAGATCACTAAGATCTTATCATCGGAACCTTAAAAAACATTTATAAACAATATAATTTACGAATAGCTTGTAAAGTATACGTTACAGTAAAGTAAAATATATATATAGAACTTTTACATTAGCAAATCTTTAAATATAAATAGTTGTTAACAACAAAACTTTAGGGAAAAAATAATAAAAATTTAAATAATAGATAAATTAATTAATAGTACTCTAAAATGTTATCGAGGGAAAAAATTAGATTTTTAATTTCGTTTTTAAAAAGACAAAAAGAATTTGGTCGATCAAAATCAACAATAGGTAAAACAAGTTTATTCCATAGGTGCGGTGCACGATAGGCAAGACAAAATTGATTAAAATTTGTTTGACAAAAAGGTTCGTTAAAAAATTTTTTTCTTTTAAGAGTGTATTTGTTGTTGGGTTTTAAACTAAAAAAATCTTTAAAGACTGGGGGGGATAGATTGTTTTTTCACATATAAACAAAGCATAAAATTTTTATAACGTTGAGTTCAAATACATTTAAAATTTTCATCTCAATAAAATAAGGTTTACAATGAGAAAAACGATCAGCAAAGTTAATTATGCGAATTGCTCGTTTCTGACAGCGATAAAGACGAAGTAATTTACTTTTTTCAGTACTTCCCCAGGCAATATTAGCGTAGTTTATGTAGCAGTGAATAAATGAGAAATAAAGTTGCCTTAAGTGTTTCTTATTGAGATAAGTTCGAGCTTTGTACAAAACTCCAATGTTTTTAGAAACTTTAGTGCATATATAGTTAATATGTTGATTCCAATTAATATTCTCATCGAGATAAACACCTAAAAATTTAATAACGGAGTCTCTTTTTATTTCAATTTCATCAATAAAGATTGGAGGCAAGTTTAAGGGTAAAAAATTTTTTTTCCTATTCGAATGAAAAAGAGTCCATTTAGTTTTGTCAGTATTTATAGTTAATTTGTTGGATTTGAACCAGTGGGATAAAAGTTTAAGTTCTTTATTCACTGTGGCAAAAAGTTCGCTAATATCGCTCTTAGAGATGAATAAATTAGTATCATCAGCAAACATGATGCTCATCAGATTAGTTGCTTTATTTAAATCGTTTATATAAATTAAAAAAAGGAGAGGTCCGAGGATTGAACCTTGTGGAACTCCACAGGTTATACTTAAACAATTGTTGTGATAGTTGTCATTACCAACAACAAATTGTTTTCTATTTGTTAAGTAACTTCTGAACCACCTTAACGCTTGGTTATTTACTCCATAGTATTTCAGTTTTTTGAGTAGGATATGATGGTCAACCGTATCGAAGGCCTTCGATAGGTCGATAAAAATACCTAATGTATATTTTGATTGTTCAAACGATTTTGAAATTTCATTTACGTTGGATAATTGCATGCTCTGTTGAGCTATCCTTTTTAAAACCAAATTGATTAACATAGAGTAGGTTATTTTTGTCAAAGTGTTTATATATTCTGTTGTACATAATTCTATCTAGGATTTTTGAAAATACAGAGAGCACAGAGATGGGGCGATAATTAGTTATTTGGGATTGGTCACCATCTTTATAAATAGGTGTAACTTTGGCAATTTTAAATTGTTCTGGAAAGATTCCTTGTTTAATTGAGGCATTAAAAACTTTGAAAAGAACATCTTTTAGTTGCTTAAAGCAATCTATTATCACATTTCCATCTATTTCGTCTGGTCCACATGATTTATTCTTTTTAATAGATTTGAGCGCCTTTTCAAGTTCTTTAATTGATAAATCAGAGGATAGCTCATCAGAGCATATGCACTTCTCCAAGGATAATAAAAAGTCACTAAACAAAGTTCTTGTGAAAGGAATCTCATTTGATAGTTTAGGACCTATTTCAGTAAAAAATTTATTAAATTCATGTGATATAGCGTTTGGTCCAAATATGCTAGTGTTTTCTATTTTAATCATTTGAGGCAGAAAACCAAAGCATGATTTTTGTTTTCCAATAATTTCCTTCATTATTTTCCAAATGCGCTTGGTGTTATATTTGAATTTGTTAAGTAATTCCGAGTAATATTTTTCTTTTAAGTTTTTACGAATTTTCTCAAATAAATATTTATAGTTTTTGTAAATTTTTTCGTTTGCAGTTGTTTTTGTTTTTAGAAAATTTATATATAACTTTTGTTTGATTTTAGAAGATTTTTTAAACCCCTTGGTAATCCAAGGAGAATTCACACTCTTAGGTTTTGCTATTATTTCAACTACGGGAAAGTTAGCGTCGTATACAGAATAGAAAGTTTTGAAGAAAGTTTCATATATGTCGTTTGCATTATTGTTTATGTTAATATTATTCCAATGGAGTAAGGATAGTTGGTCTTTGAATAAATTAAGGTTATTTTGATTAATGATACGTTTCTTCAATACTTTTTTGTTGTCAATGTTTTTTGCTGTATATGTATCAATTGTTACAAAAATGGGAAAATGGTCCGTTATATCAGTTTTTAATATACCTTTTTTTATACCCTTATTAAAAATATCAGTTGAAATAATATTATCGATTAAAGTCGCTGAGTTTATAGTTACTCTGGTAGGGCGATTAATGAGGGGGATTGATCCTGTTTCAAAAAATGTGTCATAAAAACTTTTTACTTTATAGTCATTGTTATAAAGAAAGCAATTCATATTAAAATCCCCAAGCAAAATAATTTTTTTCTTTTCAGTATCGCCTTTTTTAATGACGTTATGCAAAAACATGCTAAGGTTTTCACTTTTGCCAGCAGGTGGCCGATAACAACAGCTAATTAATAAGTTTTTTGTTTGGTTGCTTTCAATTTCAATTGTTAAGACTTCTTTGTCGCTATCAGAAATGCTCAAATCGCCTCTAAAAACAAGCCTAAGTGTTTCGTGCGCATAAATTAGTACTCCACCACCTCGTTTATTTATTTGTCTCTCCAAAGAAATAATATTAAAATGCGGAATTTGAAAATGACTATTTAGATCTTTTGATGTAATCCACGTTTCTGTTAAGCATATTATATTAAAAAGGTTTTTCGTTTCTTCTATTAGATTTAAAAGTTTTTCAAAGTTACTATTTAGACGTCTTATATTGAGCTGGAGAATTCTAATTTAATTCGAATTTTTGTCAATAACATTCTTAAAAAGATACTCTTCTAGTTCGCTTGGAAAAATATACGAACAATCTGAAAAAGTCTCACAATAAAAATTATTGTCGGGATCTGAGTTTTCGTCCTGGGAAAAAAATTATTTTTCGAAAAAATTAAACGCGAGAGATTCAAAATTATTTAATGCAGCCATGATTGTTTTATATATGTTTAAAAGAGTTCTTTTTAAGAGTGTGAATTAGTTTACTTTTTTCTATTGTTATCATAAAAAGAATTTTTAAAACAAATAATTTTATACCGAACCGCAACATTCTCTCCGTTTAAACGTCTTTGTTTTACGTCAGTAAACAATTTTTTCCTGATGGCAACGGTTTCGAGTGAAAAGTCTTCGTTAACGAAAATGTTTGTTCCTTTTATTCGTTGTAGTTCTTTCAGTATTTTTACTTTATCTTTATATCGTTGAAGGTTGAGGACTATTGTCCGAGGTTTTCCATTTTTCTTTTGTCCAGTGCGATGGGCACGCTCAATTTCAATGTCTTCAACACCAAGTTTTTGTTTGAAAAATAAGTGGACTTTTTCTTCTGTTTGTCCCCAGGTTTCTTTTTCGTCTTCGTATAATCCATCTATTCGTAGGTTATTTCTACGTGAACGATCTTCAAGTTTTCGATGTTTTTCTTTTAAAATTTCGATTAATTTCTTTTCTAGTTGTTTGCTATTGTATCCGATTTTCGATTAATTCCTTTTCTAGTTGTTTGCTATTGTATTCGATTTTTTTATTAATAATGCTTTCGTTAAAGTTTATGCTATCGCCTTTTTCTTCAATTTCTTTTTAAATTTTTTTGATTTTTATTACATCATGGCCTACTTAAATTACACGGCCTGATTTGTTGCATTTTCCGTAAAAAATTAAGAGGCCAGTTTTTTTACGGCTCCAGAATAAAAACTTAATTTTCGCTATGGTAATGAGTCTTGTTTGCACTATAATTGGTTTATTCTGATTTTATTAAAATGGTTTAATAATAGTTAGATTTTATTTGAGTACTTACATTATTTTGTGCTGGATTTTTTGTTAACTGATTGCCTGCTTCAGTTTATTCCAATTACACAGAATACTGAAATAGGCTTTCAGATAGCTATATCAACACATACCCACATGCTAGTAAAAATAACCTTACATGTTGCTAAAACTACCCACAACTCTCCATTGGAAATAATTTTAAAGGTTTGTACTTTTGTATTTATTATAATTGCAGTTATTAGATATAAAAAATCGATTTTTCTTTGAAATATTTACACTGCAAAACAACGTTTTGAAATGTAAAAACTCTACTATGTT